CTCCCTCCCCCCTTCCCCCTCCCACACCTGCCTCTGGACCGCCACAGGTGCCCCCGCCGCCGCTGTCCGAGCGAGAACTGCCGTTGTCTCCCCTACCGCCTCTCTTGGCGCCTGCTCACGATCCCTGGTCGGCAGGGCTTTCGCTATCACCCTGCTTGGGACCAGGACCGAACGTCGACAGGACAGAGAGCCTGTCTGACTTGGCCCCCCACCGCCTGGACGACCTGCCTCCCTTCCTACCCAGCACCGATTCTGTTCCCCCCCGGGGCCCCCTCCTCTTCCCAGCAGACATAAGTGCCGAGCTTCCCTCGGTCCAAGCGTTGGACGTTGACGTGGGAGGGATCGGTGGGCTGGGTGCCATTGGCTCTGACGGACACGTCCTGGACGCTGGCGCCTACCCAGCGGCGGGCCCTGCGGGGGCAGGTCCGGGGGAAGGGAGGCTGCCTGCGGCGAGTATCTTGGCGGAGGATGGCCGTGTGATGGAGTTGTTGGATTTGGCGGACGATTTCCTCCCTTTGTTCGGTCAAGACTGAAGGGATCGACAGGCGCGGGAGGCGGGCCAGGGGGGAGAGGCTGGAGCCCGGGGTGGCTGGTTGAAGAAGGAGGAGGTCGAGGGGAAGAATAGCAGAGGCTAGGACGGGCATGCTTGTGAGATGTTTGTATGTGTGGATATACAATTAGAGATTAGGAAAGAGAGAGAAAGAGATGGAGACAGCGGTGATCCATTCGGGTGGCACGTGAAAGGGGAAGCCGGTGATGTGGAGAAGGCTCGAAAATGTAAGGAGACCCCTCGAGAGGGAGGCGAGGCGAGCCGCGAGGGCAACGGGTGTCTGACTGAAATGTATGACTGAAATTCATTACTGAAATTCATCGTTCTTCTGGGATGGTACGATTTGCAAATTTGAAGAGACTTCAGAGGAACACTAATCCGAGTGACCGGGTAATTGCTTGCGGTAAAGGGCAAAGAGGGTTTCCTCCTCTTTTTGTGCACACAAGCGGGAGGCAGCGTGGACGGTTATGACAGAAGTTGGATTCTTTTTTTGGGCGCATGGCATGCGTGAATCACAAGCAGACTGGGCGAGAGCCCCGGCAAGTAGGAGGCTCACGGGGTCCAGGAGCGTTGAGGTCCATAGAGAGGGAGGTCATCCCTTGATATGGCAAGAGCCTCACCACAGGATGTGATGGACGCTGGATGCTACGTAATAAAGCAAATTCCACATTTTTTGCGCATTGGCTTTGGGCCCGTCTTTGTGTTGGGGCTTTGTTTTTTCATTCTCTACGTACTCCAGCGTCCCCGTAGCCGCGAAGTCAAAAAGTCGGCCGGCCCCTCTCTGCCTGGCTCCTTTCCGCCCCGCGCTTCTTCGCTTGATTCATTTCCTTTTGTGAACGTCACGGACGATCCTCTCCCTACCCGCCCCAAGAGAGCTCCTTCCCCTTGTCCGGCCTCCCTCCTTCCCCCCTCAGGCACAGCTTGAATTAAATGACTGGGGTGTGGCTGCGATGTAGCCCCAGCCGCTACATAAGCCCGCTCTCGTGCTTGGTAATAGGCAGGCGTACCCAGGGCCAGTTCAACTCTTTGCGGGGAATCATAGAATTGAAGGACAAAGTAGGCATAAAGCTGCGGATTCGTCCAGTCTACACCCCGTCCCAAATAAATTCGCTCTTCACTGTGCACCAGACGGATTTCATCGCCACCTCCGCCATTTTGATAGTCCACGATTATGGATGGTTTGTCGTCGAGTTGCAACGGTTCCAGGGAAGGCTTGATGTCTTTCAAATGGCCGATATATGCGATACCAGGCATTTCCTGCCAATGAACTCGGTCGTTGGCCCCGAGATAATTGAGTACAACGCCTACTTGGCCGCAATCGTGGCCGGGGCAATTTTCCCCTGATTGCACCTGTAGCCGTTTTCCCTTCCAAAAGATATCTGCCGCTACTTGTATGGCATCAGGATACTTTGGATTAATCAGAGCGTATCCGTATGAGAACCCCTCGGGAATTCCTTCATCTATTGAGCCTTGTTTGAAAATTTCCTCGAGTTGTGTCCATGACATGGCCCGTGCTGCTTCACGGGTAGGAAGAAGTGTGAGGTTGCCATCAGCTTCGGATTCTAGCCGTGCGACCGTCGAAGTCAACACTAGAAGGAGAGGAATGAGATGAGCTCGAAAAGTCATCGTCTTGAAGCCTCCTCTGTAGAAAAAATGAATGATAAAAGTGTTCAGCGCACGAATTAGTGCACTTTTTAGAAAAATACTTACGTGAAGATTTGTTGAAAGATCAGCCAGTAGTTCTAAATGCCATACATCCTTCAGATACGTATGTCTAGGGAAGTAGAGTGTACACTATTTTACACGCATACCTGCTTCCTCACAGGACTCTACGTACCTGAGAAATATCAAGTTGAACCTCCCCACCGTTACCCGCAACACGCGACAATTTAAATTACACGAGCCGTGCTTCGAATTAAAAACGCGCTTTCCGGAGGTAATGTGATGTAAATGGATACGGGCCACACTGATACAGAATTTATAGGCCCCAGGAAGAGATTGGCACGCGAAGGTACGAAAGCGGTACACAGTAGTACGAGTTGTGGGAGACCACTGCAAACTTTCATTGCACGTGTATACTCCATCCATGATTTTCAGACCTGCCGATGGTCGATGCAAATGAAAAATTTCTCTTTTTGGCGGGTTTAAAGGCTCAAATCATTCGTAATAAAGCCACCGTAGAAAAGAAATCCTCATGGCAAGCGCGACAGACAAGGAAACAAATTAATTGTTACTGAAGTATATGAAACATACAAAACGCAATCGAGATGTATGTGTGGCCATCACCCTTCAGCTACAGTATCATTCAATATTCATACATCTTGCACAAAGGGAAGGGCCGGAACCCCTTCCGGGAAGCTGTACAACCCACACCATGTTCCCACGTGAGGATTTTCAACCTCCGTGGGCGGGCAAGGACGGTTGCGGTAGGCATATCTCAAAATACGCAACACCCCCTCTTCCACGAAAGGAGAGTCTACAGGCAGCTCAAATTCAACCAGCAACTGCTCGTTGTTCTTCCCCAGCACGCTCAGGTGACTGGAGGGAACAACCTGTCCACCTGCGGTGTCTGTCGCGTCAACTTCCGTCGCCAGCTCAAACAAATTTATCCCACTGTCAACCAAGCCCTGACTCCCTACCCCAATATAGGATATGAGAATGGAAAACGGCACCGTGGCATTGGCTGGCGCTATCGGCGCCTCGGTTTGAGCTTTCGCTCGACCTAGGTCGTCCTCTCCCTCAACGCCGAGACTGGCTCCCTTCCCGTCGGCACCCACATTGCCTGCCGCAAGCGAGCCACTCCCTCGCTTTCCCGCCTCAAGATTCGTGTGCCCGGATGCCATGGAGACGGGGCGTGCGCGCCGTCGTCCACCGTCTCCTTTACCCACTACCACCACAATGTCTCTGGCCACGGGTCCCAACATGGAACCCCCCTTTCCGTACCCGTTCGCCAGCGCCGCCCGGGCCAGACGGGCCCCCGCTTCCTGCTTGTTTCGAAAATGTACCGCGCCAAAGGGGGACGCGTCGTCGTTCAGGTCGTAGGCTGCTGCCATGAAGGTATGCGGGGCGGTCAAACCGCTGTATTGGGCCAGGCGGATGCTGCCAACCTCCACCCCCTGGGCCGTGATGTCCATGTACGGGTCTTCGTAACCCTACGAGACCAAGAGAGCGGGGGGGCAACCATACATGTGAATGTGAATGAGACGGCATACACATGCCGACGGTGTGGCATTGTCCTCCTTGGGCCCCCGCGAGCCAATTACTTTCACAAGTGACCGGCAAGCTGTGGCACACGACGCCCTACCCCAAGCCGTCCTCCCTCCCTCCCTCCCTCCCTCCCTCTTTCCCTCCCTGGCATCCTTCACCCTTACATGAAGCTGTAGGAATCCAAAGGCCATGGGGCCCAAGGCGTTCGCTGGAAGGAACTGCCCCCGCCAGGAGCGGATCAAGGAAGGGAAGAGGCACCGATAGTCGTCCGCCGGGGAGTGCACGTCTTGCTCGCCCTACACAGAGGAGAAAGGGGAAAAGGATGAGTGGGGGCGTGCCGGTTGCAAAAGAGAGGGAAGACGCCTTGGAAGAGGGGGAGAGGATGGCATGG